TAAATGAATTTCAGATTGGAATTCTTGCTGATCCAAAGTGTGTAAGGTTGCTGACCTGGTGGAGATAGGGGAATTGAAAACCCACTCCTCGACACCTGTATAAGGTTGCTGTATTTTAGGTGGGATCAGTTAATCTCACGTCAGGATGAACCTAAGGAAAGGATGTACATGGGTGTGGCAAAGGAGGCAAGTGATGACAAGTGTTTACAAAAGACAAAGCCATTTATTTGGTAACATTTTGGAAATATTCATAGCTCACATCAGGTTTATATTTTTTATTGATCAACATTTATAGTTCTACTTTCTTGGTCCTTAGTCTGTAGAGGCCCCAGGGCATGCGAGTCTAAGTCCTTGGTGATGTCGACAGGATGAGATTCACTGCTGCATTCCAGGCAGCACAAATTCCTCACACTAGCAGTCTAGCATATGAAACTATATCCAGAGAGCAGTTGGATGAGACTGTCAGAGAGCTCTTCTGACCTTGAAGTCCCAGGTTTTATACGTTTCCTTCCATCTTCCGTACTTTTGATTGGTTTTTCATCCTTTTTCTCTTTCTCCAATTGGTCTCTCCCTTGTCTCCAGGTGCAAGAGAAAACCTCTTTGGGTTGTGGGAAAGATCCAATTCAAGGTGTCCATTTGATACCTCTTTGTCAACTCTTCCCAGTGATTGTTTATAAAACAATAACACTCGCACCCATAATTCAGGCCATTGTTTATACCATTTTTTGATGTCTAAGAATTTAACGATCATTTTCATCTTTCATCTATCAAAAATTCCCCTTTTTTTGTTCGAAAAGGTTTATCTCGGTCAACATTTTATAGACTTGCGAGTCAATGATCTACCTATTTATGAGCACTCATGTTAGATTTTGTCTTCTGCTAAGACCTTGACATATAGTTTGACACATACTCGAACAGTTCCGAGTCTCGTTGTTTACATCTGGTGTCACATAAGAATTTTGAGATTTACTTGAGTTCGAACCTTGTCTGCGAACCCACAAATGCGTTTAAATAAAATATCTGAGAATTAATCATCATCTGAGTAATTCTTAAACTTGGATGAGCATCATATTCAAAGGACATAACATTTTGGTTTATTCATCAAAAAACTTCTTTTAAGTGGTTATAAAAGTGACTGATTATATCCAGCAAATATTGCTAATTTTAGCTTTGTATTAAAGATGATTAATAGTGAATGTTAGTATATAAATACTTTTTTTATATAAAAACATATTAAATTTCAATACTGTATTTTATTAAGTAGTAAATAATTTCTTAATGCATTTTATTCATATTTATAAGTGTTCAAAATAAAAAATTATAATTAATAATTGATTTAATATAATAAATTTCAAAATAGTTTTATGAATTACTATAATATTTTAATTATTATGCTTATTTTTTTAGATCATTCCTCTTTTAGAAGAATTACAGAAGTGAAGATTTGTACTTCAGTTTATTGATAAATGAACAAAAATGTTAGGAAAATTTTTACACTTAAATTTGTGTTTTTTTTTGGTCATTCTTGAAATGAATATTTGCCATACAAAAATGTTGTCAAATATTGATGGTTCTCATTTCCATAGATACTACTGCATTCTATGGAGCTCTGACAGATTTATGAGATTTCTAGAAAAACAAATTTTGTGTTTTCTGATATTATTATTATTATTATTAATTTTATTATTTATTATTTTATTATATTTCAATTCTGGTTTTTTTAGTTAAAAGATATTTATTCTGTGAATATATAAAAAAATATTAATCAAATATAATTAGTAATCTCTAATAATTTAAGAAAATGCTAAAAAAAAAATTTCTTAATCTTTATTTAATGAAAATATAAATAGTTTAATTCAATTTAAATGCAAAAATATATTGTATTAAACTATATAGAAGTGCCAATAACTCTGATTAAAATCAATTAGAGGTTCTATGAATTAAATTGATGGAAATGATGGATCATTATCTTATTTGTTCAGCCACTAGTATAAACTTTTCTAGTGGCTGAACAATTAAGATAAAGATTTTTTAGTTTTAATAAATTTTATAACCACAATCAGTTCAAGCTAATGTATATGAGAAACATTTTTCCTATGCAGATATTTTTTAAAAAACCGAGTACTTTTAGTAAAGATTATATTTGAGATTAAAATTTGTATATTTTTACTTAATTTTATATATTTGCTGATTCTTATTTTAGAAATGTATTTAGAATGTACTGAAAAATTAATTGACAAGTTTAGAGTTATAATAAAATCAAAGAATTTGTCAAACATTAATATAATATTGGAGAATGAAAAGATGGTTAGCATTTTAAATATACAATGTTATGTAATGATATCATTTAAAATATATATATTTCAGATCATTTATAATTAATCTATATGACAATTTTTTATTTATATATTTTCAACTTTATTGATTTTTCTTATATTATGACTAATTTTTACAAAAATTTATTAATATTATCCAACATATATATATATATATATCACTTACATACACATAAGATTGATATTTTAAGATGTTTGTAATGTTTTATATAAGTAAATACACTTATCTGAAAAATTAAAAGATACTTAAATACATATTGGTTATAAATAGTCTTGAAAATAATAAAAAGGATGGAATTAACTTTTCAGATATGATCAAACTAATACAGATAGATAAAATAGTGGTCCTTGAATTTTTTGGATTAGTTTATTCCATTTAGTCTTTCAACAATTCTAATACAGAAACTGCATAGATGTCTATTTTATGATTTATTTCCTTGATGTGATATTTTCAATTGAAGTTATACTTTTTGTAGCAAAGGTCTTTTTCATGGAACATTCCAGAAATTTTTATTTAATGGATATATTTTCTTAATTTTTCCATTAACTGATTTAACTCTGACATGGAAATAAATATATGTAGACTATTTATTTACTCTTTCCTTTTATGTTAAGGTATATTAAGTATCTTATTAATTGTATAAAAATAGATTTTTTTGTTGTTAACAAAACTAAATATATTTTGATTATAAAACATCATTTCATATTGAAAAATCAAAATAATGCATCTACAATAAGATAATTTTGTTATGTATGTATACCTTACACTTATCAAATTATGTTTAAAACACAAATACTAATCATACAAAATATATCATTATCACTTTTTAAAAAAAAAGATAAATATTGTATAAATCATTTTATAAATTGCCATTTAAAATTTTTTTCAAATGCCAAACTANCCATTTTTATTTTTTTTTTTTTTTATGGGACAGTACGGTTATTTTGTGCTGTGGAACGAATTATGTTTTAACATGTATTTCTATGGGAAAATGCGTTTCGTATAACGGACTTTTCACTTAACGGACGTTCACCTGGAACGGATTAAGTACATTATACGAGGCACCACTGTATGTGAATAATATCAAATTTTTCAAAAATTTAAATTTTAAAATCCAGACTATCAGGAAAACCAAACATTAATGCTTACATATTGTGTTATAGGAATTTTTAGATATTTTTGTATTAATTTCCAAACAACTAATTGACTTTATAAAATTAACAAGTCTTAATTTTATAAAGAAATATTATTGAATTTTATTAGTGTTTTATTTCATTTATTTTAATAAACAAGTCACATAAAATTTAAATATAAATTTAGAATCTCAAAAATAAGTAAAAATACTTAATTAACTGAAGAAGTATTAATTAACATTCATCAATGTTTTCAAAGTTTGAGTTTCATCATCAAATCTGTTTATTTTTATCTGAATACCTGTCTGTAATATTTAATAATGATCTTATATTACATTTGTTGTTTTCTTACTATATGATACTCTGTTGATTACTTAAAATTTATTACAGTAGAGCATTAATTATCCAAAATAATTTGGATGGGACAGTTTTAGATCATTTTTTTTTTTTCAGATAACATCCACATTTGGTAGGAAAAGAATAAAGTAAAAACATTAATTTTAATTCTAGTACAATAGTTAAAAAAAAGGTTTAGGCATAGAAATTTAATACACATAAATGATAAGAAATAGAAAAATAAATGTATACTTTATTAAAAACAAGTACTAGTTTTTCATTGCAATATATACTCTACTGATGAAACTCGAATTCTAAGGAAAAAACAGAATAGTAAAATTAATATTAAATAAAATACAGTACTCACAAAAAATTATTTATTACAGTTTCTTTTTGAAAGAAGTTGCTTATTTTGCATTGATTTATATAGTTTTTTTTCTTTTTAATGCTGTTTAATCCCTTACTTAATTGATCATTATGAAAATAAAAAAATCTGCTTCAGGTTGCATTTCTAGCCATGTCAACACTTTTATTAATGCATGTAAAATGTTAAATGCATTAATTGAAGCATTTGATGCTTTAGAAGCCTGTGATTATTAGTCAAGCTTTTCTTTTTGTACTGTAGTGAATAAAGCCTAAAATTAATGTTGACAAAATAGCTCAATAGAAGATTGCCAACAATTGTTATTGCATAAAAACTAATTTCTGGAATTAGTACTCTCTGAAGTCAGTTTCAGTTAATCCGTTTTCAGATAATTGATGCTCTTCTGTGCATCAATTAATTAGCCTAGTCTTTGGTATTAATAATTTAATTATTCTGTATCATATCTTAAAGACTGGATATTTTTATTGGATATATTTAGGCATCCATTTTGAAAACATTCTTTTGTTTTTCTTTGAACAAAGATTCAAATGACTCATAGCTACTGTACAGTTGAGGATGAAGCTTAAAAGATTTGAAAATATTTATAAGATATTAAACTAAAACTTCTTTAGTTAATTAAAAGTGTTTTACTTCTTTTTGAGACTTATATTTTAAGGAGTGAAATCATATTGGTTTAAAATTTTGAAAGAACCTCAATGTTTATTTATTAATAATTATAATTGTTTTCTTTTTAAATTAGAAATTATAGTTGTTTTTTAAATATAGATTGATGTTGTAATTTGTAAATTTAAATTTGTTCATTGTTATAGGAGAACCTGCTTCATCTAGTCAGCCAATCCTGACTCAAACAGTCTCAAATGAAAATGATTCAGAAACAAATTCACTTTGTAATATTTTGAAAAATCAACAGATTTCTGAAACCCAAACTGAATTAAACAATATCGCACAAGATAAAAATAAAATTCAGAATTTACCTTCTGTTCATTCTGTGGAGAATTCAACAGATAAAGAAATTCCTTCAAAAAATACTGTTGTTCAGTCTCCACAAACATCAAAACAAAAAAATGATTCAGAAGATCTATCTTTACACACTATACCTCATTTTAGATATCGTGACTTATATCAAATAAGCAAACAGTTTACTTCAGTTCCAGTTAGCTGTGGTGGCTCTAAATTAGGAGAAGGTGCTTTTGGAGAAGTTTATTTAGGTAAATTTGGAAATGGTCTTGCAGCCATAAAACGTATAAAAACGAGTACAAAGCAGTTTACTATTGAATTGCAAGTATTAATAAAGTAAGAATTTTTCAAATTTTTTTTTTATCATTTTCTTTTCTGTAAATAAAGAATGAATTATTATTTTAGATACAAACACAAGAATCTTTTACAATTACTAGGATATTCCAGTGATGGACCAGCACCTTGTTTAGTATATGAATACATGGAAAATGGATCACTACAGAACCATTTGGATTGGAAGGTCTTTTAACTTTTCAAATTGTTTTCCACTAAAATTTTAACCATATAAAAATAAACAATATACAGACATCTGTTTTATTGAATTTTGAGCATTACCCACATCTTTTTTCAAAAAAATTTAAATTATTGGTTAAAACATCTAATATTAATATTATAATATGCACTTCATAAAATAAACAGTTAATTTTGCATCAATAAATCCTTCATACAACATAAATATATATATACATATATATATACATAGTCTATCAAAGAAATGTGATGTGAATTTTATTTATAAAACAAATTTTAAAAATATTTGATAATGTTGACATAAAAAGAAGCATAAGTCATCAGTGGCATGTTAAGTATTAACAAGCAATGACATCGTCACAATGCCTGGCTCTAATTTTTAATCATATTTTTTAATTTAAAATATATGCTTTCCACCTCCAGTGTTTAGCAGTGTTTTGTCCCAGTACATCATACTTTTCCTTTAGCAATCCAATTGTGCTGGTCATCTATTTAATTCCTTTCAAGGGAAATTTTTCAATTGAAATAACATGACTTTTGGTTTGCATTGGAAGTTCATATATAGTTAATCGGGACAAAGCATTAAGGTTTCTATATCTGATCTTGTCTTTCATCTATCTAACTCCATTCTCAAGATTAAGAAAAGATGGATGGACAGACGACAGTGGGAATTTATAGGTCTACAGTTTTTTCAAATTGCAGCCCAATAATGTGATGATTCAATATAAAAAATTATGCCTGAATTTTTTTCTATAATAGCATTCATAATTTAGTTACATTTTATTATTTTTAAGTTTATTTCAATGATATACTTTTAATTTGTAAAATTTGTGTTATGAAAATTACATTTATGTATAAAATGTTACAAAAATATATAATTTTATCAACAAATTGAGAATTAAAATTTTTACATAAAAACAATGGAGAAAAATAAGTTATTATACTTGCATTTAATTTATATCATGTAAGGACTTAGAATTTTAGTATAAAATGGCTTAAGAACAAAACTTTGATGATGATATAATTTGTTAGCAACATAAATAAATATGTATCAGGTAGAAATGANACTGCAAATGGATAACAGATCTTTGCATTTTTTTTTTTTTTTTTTTGATATTATAACACATTTGTCAGAATTAAATATAAAAATGCAAGGAAAAAATCTAATCATATCTGAATTTATACTAATATTATAAAGAGGTAATGTTTGCAAGTTTGCATGTAGTGGGTAATCTCCGAAACTACTCATCCGATTTCAAAAATTCTTTCGCCAATATTTAGAATGGAACTTTAGGGTGGACATAGGCTGTATATTATTCCGGTAAGCATTTATATAAATTAAAAGATATCATCTAGGTTAAGGCTTTATGATCAGCAGAAGGCGCTACGAGTACGACAATCTAAGTTTGCTTTTCTGTGAGGATGAACTAAAGCAGATCATCTTCTATCTATCTATATAAATAAAAATGTAATGTTCATTTGTTCCTACCAATTTTTTTGAAATTTTGACACTACATTGTATTTGAATACACATGTGTTTTAATATAATATACATGTTAAATTCCCCTCACTGGGGGGAGAGGGACAGGATTAAGGCTTACCGTGAAGAACTCGGCTTCTATGTATACTATTTTAGATGTGGTGTTTTGCATTTTTGATTGCGTTTTAATAGGGTATGTCAACAGAATGTATACCAAAAAAGGATTTTTCAAAAAATTTCCCCCATGGGGAAAGTGTTATACATTTATAATAGATACATTTTGAGCCACAAAAACGCGTGGCTGGGTCTGCTAGTAACATATATAAAAGCATTCATATCCAAGCTTAAATTATGGAGCACGCAATTGCATAACAAAAATTGTCACTTTTTTCCACTTTATTACAACACACCAAACCTAAAAATTATTTTAAATATGCACAGAAAGTCAAAGAAATAGAACAAGAATTTAAAAATAGATTTGAAAAATTCCGTAGCCAAGAAAATGAAATATGGATATTTACAGCACCATTTTTAGTAAACATAGAAAACATACCAAATGAACTTCAATTAGAGTAATAGACTTGCAGAGTAATTTAGATTTGAAAGATACTTTTAAAGAAAACAATTTGGTAGACTTTTATTAAAAAAAAATTAACTTCCTAACTTAAGAATGTATGTGGCAAAAATTCTATCCTTATTTTCTATAACATATGTATGTGAACAGTTTTTTCTGCAATGAATTTAGTAAAAAGTAAAACAAGAAATCGGCTTACAGATTCACATCTAAAAAATAATTTTAAACTAGCAATGACAATTATTCAGCCAAATATTTCTGATATATTACATTCACATCAGTTTCAGCAGTCACATTAAGTACAGTATACCTATGTTAATTTATGAATCTGTAAATAAATATTTGTGATTTACTTGCATNACCAGTTGCCATGTTGCAAATATGATGAAATATACAATAAGCATGAAGATCTTCAATGATCTTACGTAAGAGTTAGCAATACTAAAAATGAGGCCGGATGGCCGAGCGGTCAAGGTGGAAGCCGACCGCTCTGGGGGACCCGGGATCGAACCCGGACGGATCAAGGAAGATTTCCCAGGAGATTTTCGGGGGGTGGTCCGTTCAGGTATGACTGGCCTCAACCCTCACCACCCGGTCGACTCATTGTGGGACTGCTATAAGAGGCCCCCCTAGTGCCCACGGGGCAGAAAGAGTATAAAAAAAAATCACAAAATGATTATTGATGCTAATGTCTGAAATTCTATTTAATGCATGCAAGATGTGTGATTACTAGAGCCCCTTCGGCCGCCAATTTAAAGTCTTTTAATCTTTAAAATTGGTGTTTCCACTTCCCGGGACGAGGACCCAGGGATTGGATTTGTGGGAAGCAAGTGTTCGGGTTGTTTCATTGTGTCGAATTACACAGAACGAGGTGCTTGAGGTGTAAGTGCATGAGTGAGAGAATTCGAGTAAAGGTTAAACGGTGTATATCTTTGTGTACAGTGATGTTATGTCTGTGTGCGATCCAAGAACATCTTTGGCATGTCTAAAAGCAGAAAAACAGTAAATTATGATACGAGAATAAGATTCGTGAAAAAATGAAACAAAAAAGTTCTTACCATCAGAGATTGCGGAAAATATTCACTTGTATGATGATGAATGGCCATGTTGTCCTCATAGCAAAGTTGGGGAGAGAGAAGAATCTATCTCCCAAATATTCCTACAAAACACAAAGACAGTGAGAAAAGAAGAAGTTGATTCATTTATTATCTAAGGTCAACATTATTACTTTTATGAGATAGTCTTCCTTCCCGAACAATGTCACGAGGAGAGCAAAGGACTGAAAACTTAATCCTTGTAACAGCTGTTCGGGAAGAAAGTCGGCCGAATGTTGCATCCCATGAGAAACGTGTCATGTCCGGGTGATCACAATCGGAAGTCAAATCCGTTGTCGTCGATCGAGTGTCATGTTCGGAAGACAAGTCCGTGGGTCACATCCAGATAAGAGAGGTCATGTCCGAGTAAAGGTGTCATATCCGAGTGAAAAGTGTCAAATCCGGTCAGAATGTCACATCCGGGTGCAAAGGATGAGTTGGGGAAGATCGAAGAGGATCACCGACTAGGCCTATGGAACCGCAGCAACAAAACCGTGGTTCCTCGACTTGGCGGCGCTCTCCTCCGATCCTTCCCCATTCCAACTTCCGAAAGACGATGGCGACGAGATCACGAGTGCGGATGAAGAGGCAGATCTCGCGAAAGTAGAAAGTGACGGCGAACTCCAAGAGGACTCGTCACTCTCTACGTCTTCCACAACAAGGCCTGTAGCCGGCTGATCCAAGCCTGTGGCCTTGGATCAGCTGACGATCTTAGCCAAGTGGAATGGACTCAGAACTCTTTCGCCTCTGGGAGAGCCCCATGCCACACGCACTGGGGGAAGGTCGTCGCCACCCGCTGCCTCTCGTTCGACGGTCTCCAATGACACCGAACTAATCGATTCGACAAAGACCCAGTAGAGCTCCAGGTCCTCGAATGTCTCATCAGAGCCGTCCGAAAAACCCCCTTCCTCCGGCGCCACAGCATTCTTCCGTCGGAACCTCCGGCAAAACCACGCCAACATCTTCATTCTGAAAAACAGAAAATTTGCAATTAGTCGATTAAAACAAAAGCTTAAATTAATGTCTAAATTCTTCCGAGAAAAGCAAAATGCTCACCGCAGCTGCCTTTTTAAATCTAAAAGATTCGAATCCGACCATCGAACGATGTGCCGAAATGTCTTCTGGGACCGATTCTCCAAGTAATATTAAATAAATTCTTACGTTTAGGGTCAATATGAACTACGACTTACCTGAAAAATCTTCAATCTTCTTTGGAAAAGTCCGCAAACCGCAAAAAAAACGAACGTAATCGAAGAGCACAACAAAAGCACGTCCAACAACAAGAAACACAATCGAACTGCGAATCGTCATGCGTGACGAATTTCGAACAAACGTTAAAAGACGCATTAACAATGTTCGGATTACGTAAAAATTTGAATTAAATTTTATTTTTTTTCAATTAATTTATAATTTTTTTTTCTTTTTTAAATTTTGCTTCAATCATATTCTCGTGTTCGTAATTTGATAAATAAATTATCTTCTGCATTTATTTGTGCAGAATGTCCACGGTGGACAGGTAAAATACGATCTTTTCCCGACTTATAATGGGAACGGCATATCCGGTATTCACCGCCTGTGAAAAACTCTTGGCGATTTTTGACCACTCGGATTCGATTCCGGATTCCCCATACCGACAAGCTATATTTTGTTTTCTTTCAGAAATGTCGAAATATATTCTTGAGTCATTCATTCATTATATGCATTATAAATATTATTAATTGTTGAAAGTATTTAATTATATTTTTAAATTTTACATTAAAATCGTGTTTACCGTTCTTTCACAAGCAACAAAAATGTATCATTTATTTAGTATTCAAAATTCCATTTAAATTAATTGATTATAATGTGTAGTTTAATTAGATAAGCGCCCCTAGTGTCGAATAAATGTATTATGATTTGTAGCTTGTAGATTTGTTAATCGGCTGTTAAGTCTCGAGAATCAATGAATGTATTTATGTTCGAATTATTGATAAATATATCGACACACGTTTTTAAGGACTATAAACTTATATACAAATCTGTCACATGGCGTTTAGAAGTCTTACCGAGGTTTTTATTTTGATGAGAAATAATGCTCTCCAAAGTAGACATATTTACTCAGAGCAGGTATGATTTAAACTTATTTTTGTGTTTTAGAGCATTTTCTTTGCCATTCTTATCCTATTAACATGACTTAAAAGAAAAAATTTCATAGTTTATTCTTACTTCAACAAGTCTGATGCAAATACATAATGAAAAAAATTACAAAATACAATAATTTTCCTGTTATAAACTACAGCTCTTGAATAATAAAATAACAGTTTTTAGACACACATCTCAAAGTTGTAAACTTCACATTTGTTTCAAAAAAATTGAAAATATAATAGTTTTTGTTTTTACATAATTACCGATATACGGTTGAATATACAAGTACTAAGTTTTTGGCTCTCGGTAGTACTTATACTATTGAGGAAGTCTGTGGAATTGCATGCAGATTGATGAACGCTTGATACTTACTGTGACGACGATGTGCGTTTCGGGTGGTCGAGCTGTCTCTCTTTGGCCGTTCTTATTACAAAATGCAAGTTATAGGCATGTAATTTATAATTGTAAAACTGTTTATTCGGAAAGGACAATCTCTTAGTATTAATCATAAGACTATCTAAAACTTACTGTTCATATATTCAACTATATTAATAGGACATAAAGTGCATCATCGATACAACTGATATACACTTTATTTTGATATGTAAATTTATGTAAAATGTACTGATGATTTTTGCATTCATTATTGAATATCTGAGATGGAATTATAATTAGCTGCTTTAATACTTTTTTTAGCATTTCAATATCAACATTTGTTACTATGTTATAATCTTTTGAAAAGTATATACAGCTTGTTGCTTAATCTTATAAATGTTGTGTATTTTGTAGAAATTGCATAAATACCAAATGTAATGTGTTAATCTGTATTATGAAAATAATAGAGACGAATTTGCCAATTTTTCAGTTGGTATGCCGTTTCTTTAGGTGTTTTACATAATATTATATATATATTTAATGGATGTACAATATATGTATATACATACTAGCTTACCAGCAATGTAGGGTGTTCATTTTAACATTTATCCAGGTGCAAGAAAGATCTTTTCATCATTGCAAGAGTATATGCACGTCGTGCATTAGTCCACAGCATTGTTTACGGTAAACTAAATTAATTTGTTCAAAAAGAGATGTGTAAATTACCTAGTAGCTTCAAAGCAATATGGAAATTTTCCAAATATAAGGAGAAGATACAAATTAAGAATGTGATCTTGATAAATCATGTTGCAACATTTGATGTCAAGGTCCTTATAAAACACCTAACATCAATCTTCTGATAAGAGTACTGAGGCAATGTCTTATATGATACTGGACCAATTATCTGGTAAGCTTGGGACTGGAAATGATCTGAATTTCTGGATTTTACAGTTTTTTGGACATGGAATAAATACAGTATGTGCCAAAATATACAGTACTGAAACTTGCACATATTGAATATGCATGTGTGTTTGTCAATAGGGCATAGTTTCAGCTGCATGTGTCCCTAGCAGTGAAAAGGGAGGCAATGCTCTTACTGTCACCTAAGAATGCTACAGGTCATGGTGATTGACCATTCTTCAGGATTTGAAAAGGTGCTGTTGTGCAAAGGGCCTTCACATAAATAGATAGTGGTATCAACAGGATGGAGAGACCAGCCATACTGCTCAAGAATCTCTAGCTATTCTGCAAGAAAACTTTCCTTGACAAATTATTTTATGTGGTACTGATTTCCCATACCTGTCCCATTTCCTGATCTTAAACCACCTGATGTCTACTTGTAGAGAATGTTAAGGAAAGGGTGTTCAACCTTGAAGATCAACTAAGAACTGTGTTTACATTATGAGAGCAAATTGTCTCCATTTGCAGGAGTTTGTAACAACCTTTGTTCAGGATATGTTGGAGAATCTGCATGAATAATATGAACACTGTCTACAGTGAGGTGATGCACACTTCAAACACTTACATTACTCATACTGTGGTAAATCAACATGCTAATAGTGTGTATGTTAATTTTTTTTGGGGAGAAATAAGATGACAGATGACAAGGTAATATTGTTTGTCTTTTCATTTCAGTACTATATATTTTGGTGCATACTGTATGTACTTAAAATATAAACAATGGAAAGTTAAGAACAAAATTGTATTTAACCAATACAAATTAGTACATTTCTAAAATAAGGTCTGCTTGATCATTGTTAATCTTCTTAAAATGTAGAATACCATGTACAGTGTAATATTTAGGATTAAAATTAAATGAAGAAAAGTAAACAACATAATGGAACTAGCCTTGTGAGATGGTACATCATACAGGGTCTTTCAACAAGAGGTGTCATTTTAAATTTTGCACTATTTTTTAACTGTCAACATACAACTGTCATTGTAGTGACATTTGACAAGTAAAAACTATGAGATTTTCAGATATGGATTGATACACACTCACACAATGCATTGAAATAGTGAAAATTCACTACAAAAATGGTGACACTATCATGGAGATGGTTCATAAAGTTTGTACTTCTTTTGGTCATCATCAAGCACCTTCTTTCACAGCTTTAGTTAATTTAATCAATAAATTCGAATGTCTAGGTCAATGGTTCCCAATTAGTTTTTCCTGCATACCACTTCAAGAAAGAGCTCAAACTCACGTACCCCTTATAGCAGAAATTCATATTAATCCGTACTAATATTATAAATTTGAAGGTAATTCTGTTGTCTGTCTGTTACCTTTTCACGTCTAAACCACCAAATAGGTTTTAATAAAATTTGGTACAGAGATAGCTTACATGTTTGAGATGGATACGGGCTACATTTTACTGTGAGAAAATATTTTACTCCCACGAGAAAATTCGATATAATGCGGGCAAAGCTGTGGGTAGACAGCTAGTGATAAATAGAATAAGTTTTTTTTTACATTTATTCAGCTTCAGTCTCGAGTCATCTTCGAGTTGAAGTCAGAGATGTTTAGTTTTCAGGTTTGTCATGGCTGAAAATCCGCTCTCGCAGAGGTGTGTTGTGCAAAATGGTAGTAAATATTCTATTGCCGCTTCGTTGACATAATAATAATGTTAATTGTACAATTTTTGTTTCTTGCGTAAGAATTTCATTTAGGTATTGTCACAAATGCATTTTTTTGATGAAATTTCAAGAATATTTTTAGTTATAAATAAATGAATTTGTGCATTCGACATCATATTGTAAATTACCGAATTTTTGATGGTCCACCCATTATTCTTTTGACTGCTACATCTCATGCATTTAAATTTTAAATTGACTGATTTTAGATTGCTGCGCGTACCCCGAAATTGCGTGAAGGGGTACTAATTGGGAACCATTGGTCTAGGTCAAGTTAGTGATGTGAAGACTCTAACTCAAGCTAGTCCAGCCAGGTCAGTTGCAAATATTGCCGCTGTAGCTGAGGGTGTGGCTGAAAATTGAGGTTTGTCCATTTTGAGATGATCACAGGAATTGGGGATATCACAAGCCAGTTTGCACTGCATTTTGCATAACGATCTTGGCCTACATGCTTATAAGTTGCAGATGACACAAGAATTGAAGCCAGCAGATCACGCACAATGCCGTACATTCACTGATTGGATGCTGGAAATGCATGAACAAGATTGTGATTTTTTAAACAAAATTATTTTGAGTGATGAGGCTCATTTTCATCTGTCTGGGTACGTAAAAAAGCAAAACTGTTGCATCTGAGGCTTTGAAAATTCAAGAGAAATAGTCGAACAGCCTTTCTAACCACAATGAGTGACAGTTTGATGCAGTTTTTGGGCTGGTGGTGTAATTGGGCCATACTTTTTTGAAAATGCTGCTGGTTTGACTGTTGGATTGCATTACCAAATGATGTTGACTGATGTTTTTTGGCTTAAAATTGATGCTATGGATGAGGATGACATTTATTTTCAGCAGGATGGCACCACCTACTACATAGCTTGTGAAACAATGGCTCTACTGCATAAAAAATTTCCTGGATGTTTGATTTCTCAAAATGGAGACATGTATTAAATTTTATGACCAATTCCAAATTAAATTTTATAAAATGTCTATATTAAAAATTAGTTAATTATAATTATTAAATTTAATACAAGATGGAAGCATAACTGCCTACCTCTAGTCAAATTAATTAATTTCTAATATTTAATTATAACCTTTACATAGCCCAAAACTTTGGCATATTGTTTGGTTGTTTGAGATATTTTTTCAATTTTATTTGTTTTTTTTTCTGCAAATCGAATTTGCATTACAGGTTGGTTCATTCCATGCTAGAAGAAAAGATGAGGATTATTCATACTCCTTAACAATGTACTGTACATTGCATAATTTTCTTTGAATAAACATTATACATAAAATATTTGAGTATTTTTTCGGCATGGAACACATTATCATAATTTACATTAATTTTTATGGGAAAAATTGTTTTGCTTAACAAGTGTTTTGCATTATGAGTAAGATTCTGGAACAAATTTTGCCCATTAAGCGAAGTTCCACTGTATAGCTTTGCAAAAGAAAAGTTACAATACATAACAAAATATCGTCCTAATCAAATTTTGGACAAATTCATAGAGTTAGTTTGTCTCTGAAGAAAAGCTTAATATTGCAATTATTGATCAAATTATCCAACATAATCGTGCAACCACATGTTTCACTATATACAAACTGTTCATTAATCTGTCTGCTGTTACAGTGTCCACAGTAAGAGTGAATTGATAGTTTCTATAAGTGAAATTACTTGGACCAACTCTGATATCTTGGCCTTGAATGGACAATTCAGTGGTTCACTTAGAAATATTTTCTCACCATTGAGCCAATCATTGAATATAGAAACATACCCTATATCTGGTAATTTAACTTGACTTCGCTTGACACTTCATAGAGTTGTAAAGTTTTACGAACGCTTTCTATTGTTGCATTTAATTTTTTGGTTTTACTACTATCTACTACTGTGGATTATCCAAAATTTATTATTTAATTATTCAAAAATTTTCCCCTGAAAGGAGTTAGATAGATGACTGGCACAACTGTATTGCTAACAGGAA